CGTCAGTCCATACCTGTCAGTCCATACCTGTCAGCGCATACCCCTCAGTCCATACCCGTCTGTCCATACCTGTCAGTCCATACCTGTCAGTCCATACCTGTCAGTCCATACCTGTCAGTCCATACCTGTCAGTCCATACCCGTCTGTCCATACCCGTCAGTCCATACCTGTCAGTCCATACCTGTCAGCGCATACCCCTCAGTCCATAACCGTCAGTCCATTACCGTCTGTCCATATCCGTCAGTCCATACCCCTCAGTCCATACCCATCAGTCCATACCCATCAGTCCATACCCCTCAGTCCATACCCCTCTGTCCATACCCGTCAGTCCATACCTGTCTGTCCATATCCGTCAGTCCATACCCCTCAGTCCATACCCCTCAGTCCATACCCCTCAGTCCATACATCTCAGTCCATACCCGTCAGTCCATACCTGTCAGTCCATACCCGTCAGTCCATACCCCTCAGTCCATACCCGTCAGTCCATATCTGTCAGTGCATACCCCTCAGTCCATAACCGTCAGTCCATATCCATCAGTCCATACCCCTCAGTCCATACCTGTCAGTCCATACCCATCAGTCCATACCACTCAGTCCATACCCCTCAGTCCATACCCCTCAGTCCATAACCGTCAGTCCATATCCGTCAGTCCATACCCCTCAGTCCATACTCGTCAGTCCATACCTGTCAGTCCATACCCGTCAGTCCATACCCCTCAGTCCATACCCGTCAGTCCATACCCGTCAGTCCATACCCCTCAGTCCATACCCGTCAGTCCATACCCCTCAGTCCATAACCGTCAGTGCATACCCCTCAGTCCATAACCGTCAGTCCATATCCGTCAGTCCATACCCCTCAGTCCATACCCGTCAGTCCATACCCCTCAGTCCATACCCCTCAGTCCATACCCATCAGTCCATACCCGTCAGTCCATACCCCTCAGTCCATACCCGTCAGTCCATACCACTCAGTCCATACCCCTCAGTCCATAACCGTCAGTCCATATCCGTCAGTCCATACCCATCAGTCCATACACGTCAGTCCATACCTGTCA